ACATCTTTGTTAAGGTCTTACAGATATAATTATGTATAATTTTTCAATTAACTTGGTACTATTTCGCTTTTTATAACACGTTTGTTTCATTCGAAAACTATCAGTTGGTAAAAAAAAATACCATTGCTTCATTTAAATAAAATCGGAATTTCGGAATTTCAACCCTGTATCATATTGTGAGTCACACAGATTGATGGAGCTGACATGGAAAAAACTTCTAGTCGTTTTGGTTGGACAAGAACTATAGCTCCGTGTACCACAGGCCTTTTTCTGAAAGAGAAATACACCAAAGATCAAGATGGTAGTCCTCTGGCAAACTAATGTTTTGTTCAATGGCAATTCATTAAAGGGACAGTTACGCAATTCTTTTTACCAATCGTAAATTAGTCTCAGAAACGGGAATTTTAAGCGAATCAGTAATAGTGTTCAAAGCTCACTGTCGAAATTTGAGCCTTCAAATCCTTGTGTGTCCAGAAGTATCAACGTTTGAATATTAAAAAGACGATAATTTTAAACGGACATTCCGCTTTTATGTAGGTCGAATTTTTTTTGCTCAAATTTGTGAAAAATCAAGATAAATGTGCCCTTTAACGTATCTAAACTAAAAGTTTTAATTAAAAGATCAAGTAGTTAATTTCTAAACACAAAAACTATTTAAAACCATTACGGAAGGTTTTTAAGTTCGTTAAGTTGTTAGATAACTATTGTGCGGATTTGAGTAAAATAAACGCCTAATTGTAGAGAAAGATGTCTCCTGTGTATTTGAAAGGTTTCAACCAAATATAACGAGCCATTAAAATGCCAAACACCAAAACTAGGTCAAACTGCTTTATTAACAATAAGTACTCTCCGTTTTTGATTAAATAAATTCAGTTTGATCAAGAAGATACTTAGATATAAATCGCATAATTTTTGATGTTGAAAACTTTTTCTAAAAAGCGGAATACCCCTTTAAGATACTCTGTTATACATAGAAAAGACAAATATTGAAAAGACTGAGTAAAATTCCTAGTTTGAAGTATTTTAAAGGAATTTTGCGATTGCGATTTTTCTTACATTTCTAATACTTCTGAAGACTGTTTACACATTACACTCAAACCAGCCCCCAAAATGGCGCATTTGTCCTTTTACATTGTCAACATTGACGCTATTCCTGTCGACGCAGCTGGAAATGTTCATATAAACGTACTTCTAGATGAACGCTTGCCACCCATAAATTTCAAAAAAGAGTGAATAACATGGGACATAATAGCAACATCAGATTGTTCATGTGATTTTGAATTTCGAATGCACGACAAACTTTTACACATGTAATATAAAAGATTTCAATGGAGTTAGAAGGAAGTATATGAATAGTTCTTCTTTTAGAAAATAAAAATAAAAGATAATAACAAAAACTAACAGTTTAGTACCACTAGTAAATCCAAATAATGCTTAAATATTTAATATTTTATTTTTCGCAAATCCCACGACTCTGCACTCTTAGCGAGGAAAGATTTTACTATATATCTTTAAATGGCTACAATTTAGATTCAGATTATGATTTCGATCGGTTGTATCTTTGAATAACAGATAATCTTGTTGGGCTTATAAGATCTTTAAGTTGGAGATCTCTTAATTGTAATTCTAATCACCGATACAATTGCTTTGAAAAAACATTATCAGACAAACAAATAATCGTAAAAATGAAAAATTAATGACTAATAATAAGATAATAAATTTTCAGTATTACCATATACACCAGAGGAATGTATCTGTAGAAAACAAACTAATCTGTACTGTGAAGAAGCTGAATTAGATGAAATACCACCTGATATTCCAAACCAAGTCACAGCTCTGTGAGTATGATATAATTCAACCACACCCATTCCAAATATTGGAGCCGCAATTGTTCAGTTTGAGTTGCTTGCTTTTTAGATGATTGGCACCTTCGGATTTTTCAACCCAGTTTCGCTGTCAGTGATGCAGTTGAGAGGGGCTAACATGAAATAAGCGTCCAGTCGTTTGAATGGAACAATAAACCAAGGCCTCATGTGCTATACAGGTTAATCACGTTAAAAATCACTCGGCAGTTGGAAATCGAAAAAGAACAGTCTTATGTCCTGGCAATATTTCTTTCACTGCATACTGCATGCCATTCCATATCTATTCCATATGTTTAGTATAAAGCTGTCATTGCAACATAATAATTTCTCGTCGACACAATATAGCTATTTGTTTTTTACTCTAAGCTACCACGTTTTAATCCGTAAATCTATGCTTTCTTATAGAGATTTATCAAGTAATAACCTTGAGATGATTCACAGAAAGGCGTTTAAAAATCTGACTAATTTGAAAGAAATGTAAGTTCAAGAATTTAATTTAATTATGTTTTTAAATAGCAAGATGCTTGCTTGTCATTGTCATTAAACACAAAAACCTATCCTTTCTATTGGGGCTGTGTAGATTCATTTCAGCTACCAGTATTGCTTTATATTCGTACCACGGTAAACTCACAATTCAAGACATCTCATCAGATCCTTCGCAGATCGCAGATTTTAGGAAAAGATTCATTTTACTAGAAAAAAAAAGTCGAGTACGAACTAATGACAATTGACCATCGCCTTATGTGTCCTTAGAACACTAAATCTAGCAATATTCCCAGTTTGCTTGTAGTCGTTACTCACCACCCGCTCACTTATTGGACATAATTTAACCAGTTTCAGATATTCGAACAAAATGGTTATAACTTCAAATTGGGAATAAAATGTGTAGGCCTACATGAGTATAATTGCACTAAATTCTATCTGAATTTTGTTTTCAGTCAGAGAATCGATCTTCCCCCATTTATGACTTGATCATGAATTTTGACCACAAATACTATAATTCATGTTATATCGGGTGGTCCAGACAAAACGATAACATTTTTCACTCCAGGCTTATTCATAAAGTATCACAGCTATAGCCATAAAATTGTAACCTCATAATTATAGATATATTAGGCTTCTTTTTACAAAACATTAGCTTCGTACTTTAAAACACTTTGAAATGACAGTATTTTATAAATTACTTTAAAATTTAAAAGCCGGAAGTATTTTTGTAATTTCACTTTGATTCAATTTCAATTTTAATAGAACAAATGGGCTATGTGACCACCATTTTCAGTACAAACTGCTCAGCCATGATCTTTCCATGACAAAATTGTGTTTAGATTGATTTAATTCCATTAGTGCCTAATTCTCTCCTTCAGTTCCAGTATCAAAAAGAAATTTTTTATCCAATTTAAACTTTCACAACTTGAGAGTAATCTTTTTGATTGCAATCGAGAGGTTGGTGAGGGTTGGCATTGAAATTTTTGACAAGGATTTTTTAAAATGCTTCCATTTCAAAGTGTTTCAACCCATGAAGCTAATTTTTCGAGAAAAGATGTCTTATACCTCGATAATTGAGAGTTCAAAATATTAGCTTTAATAATAAAGGAATAATCCTGAAATGAAAAGTATTATCGTTTTTTTTGTGGGACACCCGATATATGTATCCAGATTAATGTAGAGAGTCATACAAATCAGAAAGTAATTGTTCGTCTTAGATTATACTATCTTATTACAACTTAATTCAATCTAAACAATAGTGGCCTAGGAGAGGAAAATAAAATCAAATTATAGAACTGCAAAGTATAATATAAGCCTTCAAGGGTAATTGTTTAAAAAAAAATCACAATGTCATATTATTTTTCTAGATATAATTATCAGCAACTTTTTTCACCCTAGAAAAGAGAAATTGTATTAACCCATTTCATGAATGTAATATGTAATGACTATCAGCGATAATACTTTTGTACTTGACTTTTTAACTTGAATTGATGAAAATAAGCTTTACGACTACAATCTGTGTTCTGGTGTTTCAGTGCTGTGATGTCACTGTTTGATCTACTTTTAATTCCAGCCACGTGACTTCATCTCGAGTTAAAATGATAGAAGATGATACATTTCGCTATAATTGGAGATTGAAAAGAGTGTAGGTATAATATATTAATGGCTTCACATTTTTCTTCTAGCAAAAAGTGTCCTTTGAGTAATTTGAAAACTCAATGCTGAGAATGAAATCCACCATGTTCATTTACATATTTCGCAATATCTCTTAAAGTAAATAATGCATGTTAATTGACCAAACTGCCAACTTTTTTTTTCACACTCATTACAGTTGTGGCTTTTTTCACACAGACAATGTTAAATTTAAAATTTAAAAATTATCTTTCATAAGTCAGTACAGTGGTGTAATCTATTTTCGTGCATATAAGGATTCAACACCGAATTTCGTCAAAGTTAAAAAAACGCATTTTTTTTATGTCCTAGATGTTTCCTCAGATATTCTACAAAATAATTAAAATTGGTTT